TATATTTGATCTATATCTCACCTGTGTCTCACCTGTATCTCTCACCTGTGCCAGCCCCGCCCCCAGGCCGGCGCCTGGAAGAAGCTCGAGGCCTCGCACGAGTACAAGAACCACAACCAACTGCGGGAGTACCAGCTGGAGGGCGTCAACTGGCTGCTCTTCAACTGGTACAACAGGTAAACACACCTGGGTACAGGTACACACACCTGGGTACAGGTAAACACACCTGGGGAATGGGAATGGGAATGGATAAACACCTGGGACAGGTGAGGGTATGGATACTGGGAGTACCAGCTGGAGGGCGTCAACTGGCTGCTCTTCAACTGGTACAACAGGTAAACACACCTGGGCAGGTAAACTCACCTGGGCACAGGTAAACACACCTGGGACAGGTAAACGGGGATGGGAATGGGAATGGGCATGGGAAATTACCTGGGGCAGGTGAGGGTATGGGTATTGGGAGTACCAGCTGGAGGGCGTCAACTGGCTGCTCTTCAACTGGTACAACAGGTGAGCTCACCTGGGCAGGTAAACACACCTGGGACAGGTAAACAGGGATGGGAATGGGAATGGGCATGGGAAATTACCTGGGACAGGTGAGGGTATCAGCTATGGGAGTACCAGCTGGAGGGCGTCAACTGGCTGCTCTTCAACTGGTACAACAGGTGAGCTCACCTGAGACAGGTAAACACACCTGGGACAGGTAAATGGGGATGGGAATGGGAAATTACCTGGGACAGGTGAGGGTATGGATACTGGGAGTACCAGCTGGAGGGAGTGAAGTGGCTGCTCTTCAACTGGTACAACAGGTGAGCTCACCTGGGCACACCTGGGCAGGTACACACACCTGGGGAATGGGGATAAACACCTGGGACAGGTGAGGGTATCAGCTATGGGAGTGCCAGCTGGAGGGCGTCAACTGGCTGCTCTTCAACTGGTACAACAGGTGAGCTCACCTGGGCACACCTGGGCAGGTAAACAGGGATGGGAATGGATAAACACCTGGGGAAATTACCTGGGACAGGTGAGGGTATCGATACTGGGAGTACCAGCTGGAGGGGGTGAACTGGCTGCTCTTCAACTGGTACAACAGGTAAACACACCTGAGACAGGTAAACACACCTGGGTACAGGTAAACACACCTGGGGAATGGGAATGGGCATGGGAAATTACCTGGGACAGGTGAGGGTATGGATACTGGGAGTACCAGCTGGAGGGCGTCAACTGGCTGCTCTTCAACTGGTACAACAGGTGAGCTCACCTGAGACAGGTAAACACACCTGGGTACAGGTAAACGAGGATGGGAATGGGGATGGGAATGGGAAATTACCTGGGACAGGTGAGGGTATGGATACTGGGAGTACCAGCTGGAGGGCGTCAACTGGCTGCTCTTCAACTGGTACAACAGGTAACACACCTGGGCACACCTGGGCAGGTAAACAGGGATGGGAATGGATAAACACCTGGGGAAATTACCTGGGGCAGGTGAGGGTATCAGCCATGGGAGTACCAGCTGGAGGGGGTGAACTGGCTGCTCTTCAACTGGTACAACAGGTGAGCTCACCTGGGCACAGGTACACACACCTGGGACAGGTACACACACCTGGGACAGGTACACACACCTGGGCACAGGTATACACACCTGGGGAATGGGAAATTACCTGGGACAGGTGAGGGTATGGATACGGGGAGTACCAGCTGGAGGGCGTCAACTGGCTGCTCTTCAACTGGTACAACAGGTGAGCTCACCTGGGCACAGGTACGCACACCTGGGCAGGTAAATGGGGATGGGAATGGGGATAAACACCTGGGGCAGGTGAGGGTATGGATACTGGGAGTACCAGCTGGAGGGGGTGAACTGGCTGCTCTTCAACTGGTACAACAGGTGAGCTCACCTGAGACAGGTACACACACCTGGGACAGGTAAACACACCTGGGGAATGGGGAAATTACCTGGGACAGGTGAGGGTATGGATACTGGGAGTACCAGCTGGAGGGCATCAACTGGCTGCTCTTCAACTGGTACAACAGGTAAACACACCTGTGCTCACCTGGGCACAGGTACACACACCTGGGACAGGTAAGCAGGGATGGGAATGGGGATAAACACCTGGGACAGGTGAGGGTATGGATATTGGGAGTACCAGCTGGAGGGCGTCAACTGGCTGCTCTTCAACTGGTACAACAGGTGAGCTCACCTGAGACAGGTAAACTCACCTGGGACAGGTGAGAACACCTGGTATGTTACATGTCCTGTGTTCCAAGTGCAAGTTACCTGTCCCAGGTGTATCTCAAGTGTACCTTACCTGTCCCAGGTGTATCTCAGGTGTGTGTTATCTGTCCCAGGTGTATGTCAAGTGTACCTTACCTGTCCCAGGTGTTCTTTAGATACAAGTTACCTGCCCCAGGTGTGTCCCAGGTGTACCTTACCTGTCCCAGGTGTATTTCGGGTACGCGTTACCTGTCCCAGGTGTATCCCAGGTGTATCCCAGGTGTACTTTACCTGTCCCAGGTGTTCCTTAAATACAAGTTACCTGTCCCAGGTGTGTCCCTTACCTGTCTCACCTGTCCTGCAGGCAGAACTGCATCCTGGTGGACGAGATGGGGCTGGGCAAGACCCTCCCCTGTCCCTCAGGTGTACCTTACCTGTCCCAGGTGTATTTTAGACACAAGTTACCTGTCCCAGGTGTGCCCCTTACCTGTCTCACCTGTCCCAGGCGTATCCCGGGTGTACCTTACCTGTCCCAGGTGGATGTTAGGTGCAAGTTACCTGTCCCAGGTGTGTCCCAGGTGTGTCCCTTGCCTGTCTCACCTGTCCCAGGTGTATCCCAGGTGTCCCTTACCTGTCCCAGGTGTTCCTTAGGTACAAGTTACCTGTCCCAGGTATATTTTAAACACAAGTTACCTGTCCCAGGTGTGTCTCACCTGTCTCACCTGTCCTGCAGGCAGAACTGCATCCTGGCGGACGAGATGGGGCTGGGCAAGACCCTCCCGTGTCCCTCAGGTGTATCCCAGGTGTCCCTTACCTGTCTCAGGTGTTTTTTAGATACGAGTTACCTGTCCCAGGTGTATCCTAGGTGTATCCCAGGTGCACCTTACCTGTCCCAGGTGTATTTTAGGTACAAGTTACCTGTCCCAGGTGTATCCCAGGTGTATCCCAGGTGCACCTTACCTGTACCAGGTGTATTTTAGGTATAAATTACCTGTCCCAGGTGTGTCCCTTACCTGTCTCACATGTCCCAGGTGTATCCCGGGTGTCCCTTACCTGTCCCAGGTGTATTTTAGATACAAGTTACCTGTCCCAGGCGTATTTTAAACACAAGTTACCTGTCCCAGGTATATTTTAAACACAAGTTACCTGTCCGAGGTGTATCCCAGGTGTACCTTACTTGTCCCAGGTGTATTTTAGGTACAAGTTACCTGTCCCAGGTGTGTCCCAGGTGTGTCTCACCTGTGCCTCACCTGTCCCACCAGGCAGAACTGCATCCTGGCGGACGAGATGGGGCTGGGCAAGACCCTCCCGTGTCCCTCAGGTGTATCCCAGGTGTCCCTTACCTGTCCCAGGTGTATCCCAGGTGTCCCTTACCTGTCTCAGGTGTATTTTAAACACAAGTTACCTGTGTCAGGTGTATCTCAGGTGTACCTTACATGTGTCAGGTGTATCTCAGGTGTATGTTATCTGTCCCAGGTGTATCCCGGGTGTACCTTACCTGTCCCAGGTGTATTTTAGATACAAGTTACCTGTCCCA